AAATGAACGCATACTTTTATTCATTCATTTTTCACATTGTCTAGCAAATGTCATCATTTTTGTATAGAAACAAAGTATATACAGGGTGTCCTGTAACTGAACAGCCAAACTATGGGAAATGGTTTCATGGGTCAAAATAAATTGAAATCAAGAATGGTTTTTTTTATAAAAACACGTTGTTGATCAGGTATTTGCCATTTTGTAGTTTTTACATTTAAAAATTTTTTTCTTTGAATTTTTTAAATTGATCTTTATGAAAGTTGGTATGCATTTTAAAGTTGAATAGACCTATGTTAGAAACATATTTGTTAAATAACTGTAAATGATTTTCAGGCTCATATCAACTTGGGTAAGAAAGGGTACGTGGTGCCTCGTAGTGGTACCATCCAGGTGACCCTCCTCAATCCCCTCGGCACTGTGATAAAGATGTTCGTGGTTATGTACAACCTGACAGACATGCCTAGTAATTCTCACACGTTCTTGCGTCAACGTACTCTCTACATGCCTGCAGGACTGTCCGAGCCAGTAAAAAACTCCCAGAAGTACCTTCGCTACCTCATTCATCTGCGGTAATTACCATTACTATTGCCTTCTTCACTGGGTGTTTACTCAGAAATGTCTGTGTACTGATAAGTTAGTGCTTAGGGAGATATGAAAATTACTGAAGAATGGTTTCTTTAACTAAGGGGTTTTTAAATTAGGCCTACAGAAAAGTGATTTATTTTACAAGCGGGTCACAGTTACGGGTGTAACTAAAAAGTCACTGATTAACATGTAAAGGCATTCAAAGTGTCCGATTTTTATCACTGCCCTAAAATGAAATAGTTAAAATACAGTACCCATATTTTATAACCCAGCAAAACAGTTTTTCCCATTCTTCATCCAATGTTTAGAATAAAATTTTAATAGAACTGTAATTTATTGTAAATCATGCAAGTAGAGTAGGCCTGGTAAAAATGTAAATTACAGGATGCATTTATACATTTTCGTAATGAACATAATGATGGTTTCTGAAGTTCAAGAAATGTTCTCTACATGCTTATCACAAACCTCAGCAATAGATTTTGAAAAGTAACAAGTTTATGTTATAGGGTAATGACTGGTAGATGCTCTTCTTCCAAATTTTAATAGTTATTTGGTTTTTAATTTATATTAATCTTGAATCTATACACCTCGAGTATTATGCCACAAAAAGTGGAGATCAAAATATTTTTTCAAAATGGTATTTAACCTTAATACAAAAATCCAAATAAACATTAAATATTAGTGTTGAAATTAAAATAATACATACCACCGTTTAAATGATGAGTAAATTATCTTCTTTTATGAAAATTTGTTTCTTTCTACTATTTTTTAAATTTGACACCCAAAAATATTCAAAGGAAATGTAGGCTATGTTACAAATCAGAAAACACTATGCATTTACCTTGAACGATGAAATATGTGCTGCAACTTATCACAAGCTTCACATGTACTTGAGATACTTAATATTTTATGTCTACAAAAAATCTATTAGCCTACAATGACTTAATGTTGTGAAGCAAGTAGTGCATAAGTTAAGTAATTTCTTATCTACCTCACATATTTTATAAGAAGTGGCTGATTTGGCATTAATGGAGTGCTGATATAGGTCAGCTAGCTTACTTTATATAACAGTCTACATTTTCTCTACAATCTACTCTGTGAAGAATACCTATAACAGGACAAAATATTAATTTTGTATTGTGACTTTTTGTTTATCTCTTGGTCCCTAGAGTGAGTAAGCTAGATGAATCATTTTCAACAAAATTGCTGTTATAAGTTACTTTATGTGTGTTGAAAAGTGAGTTTCCAGTAATTCTTATGTTTTTTTATTGATCAAAAATAGACCTTTTATTTATATTAGATTATGGACATGTTAATTAACATTTGTTGGGTTTTCTGTGACAGATTTGCCAGTTCTAAGTCAGGGCGTCTGACTCTCCACACGGATATCCGTATGATAATCTTTCGTAAGTCGGACATGGATACTGCTTCAGGTCACGCAGCCGACACTGCCTGTGAAATGCGCTCGTTTACTTACGGCCCAACCAATCCCAAGTTTTCTCCACGCAAGTGAACACTTGACCATTGTGATACTGGCGCAACTTTGTGTTTGTTATGTTTCTTAATTTTATTTGATTGTTGTGTCGGTAGTTTAACGATTATTGCGTTGTCAACTTTGGTTAGTGTTTATCGTTGGACTACCGGTTTGAATTGTTGTGATTTCCACTTGTAGTTTTCGGGTCTGTGTGAGACTGTCCGAAGTTCTTTCTGTTCTTTTGTTTTGAATATTTATAAACACTCTTATGTCTTTCAATTTTAGAGTTAGACCAGTAGATTCATTATTAAAGAGTAACTATAGAGTAGATGAATAAATATATAACATATTTCGTATAAGTATTGTACAGTTAGATAAATTATTATGATGAGAGTTCCGAGGAGGGAGACAAGCGTGTCAGTCACATTCAATTTAGCTCTAAACCAATCTCGTCTTTGAATCCATTTTGAATTTTCAATGTGTTTTTCTTTTGTTTTTCAGGAGAAAATTTTATTTTTCTGTACTCAAAGATAACATTTCTTTTTTAGTTTATTCACATTGTTTTCCACTGTTAGTTTGATAGAGTATGATTAAGTGACAATCTTAAAAGTATCTAGTTTGCCTTATATATTAATTGTAAGTTACTCTCATGGTGATATTTGGTCAACAAAATGCTAATTCAAGTCATCACAACATTTTAAAATAGGATTAAAAAAAATATTATGCGTTTCAGTTTTATTACAATGAATTTGTTTAAATAATTTGACATCTGCAGTAAATGTAGTCATTGAAATGTTTTAGTATTCAGATTTGTGTGAACTAATCTTTCTTTTCGCTATTTTGTTGCGTACAAACAACATTTTATCTTTGTTTTAGTTATGAAACATTATGTCATCAGGTGGAGTTTAATTTCAATCTCAAACAGATTAATTGTGAGACAGTGTATGTATATTTTTGAATAAAGAATTGAGTTCATAAAGTAAGAACAAATACTTGGTTAATATCAGAAGCTTAACAAAAGTTACTAACAGTACTACAATGATTTGCCTATTTTTACAATATAACCTGGAGAACATGAGATCAATCACTGACAGAGGCTAGTGAATATGCATCACATTTCAGGACAAGAGACAACCTACCATTTCATTCAAACATATGTTAAATAAAAATATCTCCTAAACGTTCAACTAATAATTGAAAATTAACAAAGACCACATAAAAGATATGAATACTATCTAACCTTGATTCATATATCAATCATATATTGATATATAATTATATAGTTTTTTATGAGTGAAAACCCTTGATTCGTCAAGATTCTTGAATTGTTTGAATGTGTTCAAGTAGTACCAATGCCTTCAAAAAAGTGGTATAAGCAATATTTTCAATAATAATATACGTTGCTTTAAATCTAATTTGTGTGTACTTGTACTAGAAACTTTATTTTCTCTTCCTTGTGGTTTTTGAATTAGCACATTTTAATTAGTTACCATTGACAGTATCCCATTTGCAAATGAGTGAATGGTAAAATTTAAGTTATAATGATGAACCCGAATTAAATAATCTTACACTGTTTTAAGGTCCATGTTTGTAGCCAGAGCTAGATTATTGTTGCCATTAATTACATAGGTCACTATTTTTATATCTAGTGCTAGTAGTATGGATATTTTATGTATTTAATAGGTGAGCCTATTTTTCCTATCTTTCAAATTTAGTCTGTCAAAGTTTATTGAAATAAGTCGATGGACACAAACTTAGACATACATAAATAACAACACGTTTATTTTAGTTGAGAAATTTTAGGCTTCATTCAGTTATGAGTTCAATCTGACTTATTTTCAATGTATTGTTTCAATTTTTCATTAAAATCCCATTGTATTCTACTCTTACTTAAGTGTCATTATTTAGTTATTTCTTTCAGTTTGTCAATAGTTGTATTTAATTTTCACTGTAATAATGTTTTGCAATTAAGAGAATAAATAGCTATGGCCGTTATGGTGTTGTGAAACTGTGTGGTTTTGATATTCTTCCTACTCTGATTAACTAGTTACACACATTTATGACACAAATATCTGAGGTTGAATAACATGTTTGTTCACCTTTAGTTACATTTATTATTTAAAGTTAACTCATCAAGAGCATACAGAAATGTCTAACCTTGCTTTAAGATATATAATCAAGAAATAGACTGTATCACACAATGGTTAAGGTCGATTTACACACATCAGTTCAGTCTTCCATCACTTTATTTACAGTGATGTTACAAGAAAAAAAAAACACAATATTCTATCAAATTTTCACCGTCCGTATTGTTGATTGTCACAAACAGTAATATAATTAACAAAAACACAATTTTATTTAACAAAATTATTTTTTAACCTCAAACACATACATCATACGTCTGAACAATCCCAAAATATCGGTGGGAAGAAATCTTAAATTGACTGATGGACGTGAGTTGGAATTGCGTCGGGTGAGAATAGATATCGCAAAAGAAAATTTATTAAAGAATAAATTTTATGACTTATGTAACAGAACTGTGACGTGCCGGAATTGTTGTGTGAATCGAACTTTAGGCCTATATGATTGATACGTCTAAAAAGGCTAATGTAAGAAATATTGTGATTGACTCCCAAAAGTATTTTTGCGAAGGATAGAGCTTTAAAATTAATCAATTCCTTTGTAACAGAAACAGTGGTGCAATACAAACCCTGCAGGCATCACCACACAGGGGTACATAGTCAAGGTATAACAAGGTATAAAATCACAATGTTTTTTGCAAAAAGAAATTAGCCTTTTTGTCCTGCACACAAAATCTGCCCTGTCACACGTTTTAATATCTATGCGATCCTACAACTCAAAAACATTTAAAGAAACTTTTAAGAAATATTTATGGTAAATTTGGGTTTCATGTGATGACAGTTCAGAAAACACACACATAGACGAAACAAAGCACAATTTATTGACATTAACAACACCTTTTAAACATATAATAATGTACATTAGTGACAATAAAAATATCATATTATTTACATAACAATTTCCTTATCACATTTTAAATACTTATCTAACATTAATTTTGATTTTTAATAATAATTGTTTTCAAAAGCATCGAACTACAAAGCTGTGCTTCTAGCCCTAGAGTGACTAATAGTAGTATACTATGTAGGGAAGAATTGGAGTGCAGTGTTGCTAGTCACATGTTCGTCAAACATCTAATATTTGAGACTGGGTCATGTTTTCCGTAACTAGTTAAAAGCAAAGAGGTTTTTGAAAGTGGGCCTAACATAACAGAACGATATAACTTTACTGTCTTCCATAATCACCCTTCATATTCGCCCCAAACAAGGTGAAATGGGGTTAATGTTGTAATATAGACATAAAACATTAGTTTTGTTTAAATAACAGGCTTTCCTGATTAAGAAAGAGTCTACCCTGGCCCAACTTGCTTTACAGACTACTTTTCTTGCACTGGATCGGCTCTTACCAATTCAGGTGAGCCTGCTTTGTCAACGAAAAATTAAAATAGAACTTTGTGGCAAACTATATTTCATATGTAATTACTTTTTAGAAATTTACTGTTTTCTTTATTGTGGTGACTATAAACTTGCAACACAGGACTCCTACGGCTAAGTTACTGTATATATCACATATCGGAATGTTATTTTACAGTCCATTCAATGACAGTGCAAAATAGCTCTTAAATGGACTTGTTAAAAGGTTTGATAATTTCATATTACAACCCACAGAAGCTATTGTGAACCATTCATTCTAAATTGCATATTTTTCAGAATATTGAGAAAAGCCAGTTTCTATATGTGTTATTAACAGAAACGATAAATTAATCTATACACATTTACAAGTTTAACCCTACCGACTAAAGAAATGTCTTATTTGAGAACTCTGATCATGATCATCATATGATCCTAACAAGGAAGAAAAACAATATCCTCCTGTTAAATTATTTTTTTAACAGTTTTACACTTGACACTACAACTGAATGACCAACCGAGTGAGTGAACGATGGTAAGATTTGTTATCACCATTTACATTCAGTTTCCCTGAATGCCTTACAAAATTGTTTTAACCCTTCCCGAGTAGCGGCTGCATGGCGAGCCCTACTCACAACACGATCAATAATTTGGTTGGGGTTAAAAAAAATTGATTTTGAAATTTTGATGTTTTTTACTTTTATCTAATGGTTAATATTGATTGTAGACACATTTTATGGCCACAATTTTACATGTGCCTGTGCGTGTGTTACGTGTGCCCATTCTAGGTGCTGTTCCTTTCCACTTTTAGCAAATTTCCCATATAGGGAATAAGCTATTACCGTAGTTCTCATGTTAAGACCTGGACAGGGGAACAATTTACTTTTAATATTAATTTATATATGTGTCCGTTACCAAGATAACTCGAGCAAAAATGATCCGATTGGATGAAATTTTGTATTAACGTGTAAACCCACATTTATTCGAACGAGTTCGCGAACCAGCATTATCAGACTATGGGAAGGGGGGTTTTATGGGGTAAAGATGGTTTTTAAACGTAACGTTATTGAAATAGATTTAATTGAAAATCAAATCAGGCAAATGGAAATTAGCTTAGTCTGCAGGTTTGCTGTGGCGGGAGTATTTTTCCTTTTCGTCTGTCCCCTTGGCCTTATCTTCAGTTTTGATGATTACTTGTGAATGCAGAGGCCTATCCCCCACTTCATTTTCATTTTGATTCATTTTCATCATCAGACATTGTTGTAGTCCTACCATAACCAACAATACTAACATCTTGACCATGATCTAGATTCAGTTCCTTAGGTTTGCTACACTCCTCCGTCTTAAGAGTAAAGCTTTTGTCAGAAGGCCCAGGCCTCTATTAATTTTCATCGTTTTCATAACATTTATTTATTTACAAAATCAAGTGTACTAGCACGAAAGCTACTTTGTTCAAAATGTACATCCATGTTATCTTCATCATAACGTTCTACACCCTGCAGCACTTCAAGACCGCTTACATCATAGTTAGCTTCTGATACCACCTGAACTACGTACTGAAACACTCATTGTCTGAATCTTCAGAGTGTTCAGAAAGCTGAACAGCGGCATTTCTTTCAGAAATACTTTGATTCGATAATTCAATCATGTCTTCTTCAAAATTCGGATCATTTAATCTTAACTAATCTAAAATATATACGAAGTTGGAATTAGGTATGAATAAACCTACCCACTCCTAGCAAAATTTTTGACATGTAAAAATTATATTTAGGGAAGATCCAGTTGTTTTTGTGTAAAAACAGATGAATTAGTTTTATCTATTAGTTTTAAGTCTTTGATTTAACCATTGACAATATGTACTGTTATTATGATGTACTGACATTTAATTAAATAAATAAATATATGGCCAACGCTCGGGAAGGGTTAATATTTGTCCCGAAAACTTAAGAAACTAGAATTTTAAAATAAAAACGTAAACAAGAGATTGGACACAATGTTAACTTTAAGAACATTGCATAATACTTTTATTAAATGCTTGGGAACACAGTAAAATGACAAAACAATGAAAATATAAAAAGTCTTGGGTAGCATATCACCTGTCACTACTTTAAAACTCATTCAAACTTTAAAATTTTATAACATAATATTACTGTAGAGCATCGATTATCCAAAACATTAGCTAACCAAAAGGCCAATCACCGGTGTTGCCGAGACGGCAAGATATAATCACGGTCGTTTACGCTATCGTGGCAGACGATCGTCGTTGTTACTGAGACTGCAAGATATGCTCACAGATGCTAAAGTCGACAAAACTGGTAAAAATACAAATGTAAACATAAAAAAAGTTTTGAAATGTTATCAAAGTTAAAAAAATATATCTAATCTTTACTGTTAATGACCAATTATCCAAAGAAAAAAAATCAGTTATACGAACAGTCAATTTCCTCAAATTGTTTCAGATAATCAACTCTCTACTGTAGTATCTTTAGTAACCTAAGTTTTACAATTAATTGTTCTTAGAAATTAAAACTACCGGACAACACTATTATGGAATAAAAAATGGATTAAACAAAGCTCTCCTAACTATGACGGTTAACAAAAGTTAAAACTATAATACTTTTAAAAGGTCATCTTCTTTCTCTTGAGAGATTTCACTTACGCTGACCTGAAAACCAGAACATTGATTGTGTTTACTTGATGAGATTACGTTCTTTCAGTAAAGTTGAATTTAGTCTAAAGAGTAACGATAAGCTTTTAACAATATCGATAAATAAATATCCATTTATCACAGTGGTAAATTGAACTATCATACCCACCCTTGTTAAAACACTTTGATTTAAAATGAAACACAGGAAACATTTTGTACTTTTTCCAAGCAACACAAAAAGACTTACTACCAAATAAAACATCAATTTAGTTTTCTTTTAGATTCAATAAACATGTTCAGTTGTTGTTTGGCTGAACGGCAAACATGGTAGAGAAATACCAAGCATCAGGCAACAGATTTAGCACTTTTAGCAGGCTGAAAGAATGCTGCAGATATTCTATCGTACTAATTCGCAATGTCGCAATTTTATACAAGAGCCCTTTGTGAAAGTATTTTGAAGCAAGAATAATTAACATGCATTCCTTATTTTTCTTATTGCTCTATGTCAGTACATCATGAATGTATAGTTATATATTTTTGAAGATTACTGTGTACTGTTTCAATTTAAGCAGAGAGATTTTAGATGTTTAGGACAAATGAGGTTAGGACTGAATGGGGACCCAACATATGTGGGAAATTATTCATCGAGATTGGCCAACAGAGCTGTTTGATATAATTTACAAACAACATTTTCTGCCTTAGATCTGACTCCATCTTTCTCTTGTAGTCGATGACTTGGGTTTCAGCTCCTGTTAAGCCAAAATCATCCGTCAGGTGCTTAAAATTATCCATCTTTTGATATTATAATGTCTTCGATGGACACAATAATGAAGATCACTTAAACCGGCAGTCTGCAGTGCACTGTCACCCACCAACCATCATGGTTCATTACTGTTTAACTATTGTTTTCAATTTAAATCTATGCCTAGTTTTTGCTATACTGTGTATCCTTTATTCATACTGTGCTATGTGTAAATCGGTTGAAGAGACTGAAAGGGCTGTACTTGCCCCTGACAGATATAATTGTGGTTTGACAGGATTCAAATAATCATCTAATCCACTACAGATAAGAATCAGAGCTGTGACAGAAATGTTGGTATGTATGTGTAAAAAATAGAGACAAAAACATATCAAATCCTATTGAAAATTTTTGAACTTACGGGATAGGATGTTTTTCATGACTGTATAACATAATATATGACAAAAATAGATAATTTGAACAAGGTTTGACAAGCTGAACTGACAATGACAGTTTTGTATTTACAATTTTAATTTAACAATAGATAGATGTGTTACAGTCTGCTGCAAAGGCAGCCCTTCAACAATGAACAACTGAGAGTCTACTGAAAAATGACTGAATCCATCATTAAACAATCATATGAAAATTAAATGTGAAAAATCATAAATTGTTTTCAAACAGATTTAGAAAAATCATCAGTTTATTTTTCCTGAGCTTTTCATTGACGTCTATTGTGCACTTAAAGGAAGACTACTAAGGCCAACTTCAGAACACTGTCAAACTACAGTGCCGTCACTGGAAAGAGGAGACAATGCAAATATAATAGTTACTTACGTACAGCTTTGGCTAGGTAAACTTTTTTTCAATGTACAAATACATACAGGGTTGTAGATGTTAATGAGCCAGAATAGCTATTAACTAACTCCCTCCTACTTTTTACCAAATAAAATTCTTGATCTAACATTCGACATTTAGTGTGTAATGTTTTATAACGTTGTCAGGCCTAAATATGATTTCAAGGTGAGCTGCCTAAACAAACTTGAACACTGTATCCTGCTGTAACAGGTCACCTGTTTTTGTAACTTCTAGAAGGCTTCCAGTAATATATAAGTAAGAGGGTAAGTATTTGATTTAAAATGTAATTGATAAAAGTCTGTCTAAAGTAGAAGATTGATTATATAAAATAACCATGATTAAATAGTTTTAAGCTTATGACAAAAATCTTGTTGGATAATAGCTGGATTGCCTGTGTATGATTTTATGAGTATTTTTAAATGTAGTAGCTTTTAATGTTTTTAATAATAATATTATTATTTTATTAGGGTGCTTATTTTATATTTTTACCTTACTCCCTTTTATTTTCTAATGATTATTCTTCAATGTATTTTTTGTAGTGTGATAGGGACTAGCAGTTAGGTAGTTTTAAATTTTCTTCAATATCTCTTGAACATGTATTTTTAATTTATATGCAACCACAATTCATCATGGTCTATATGTTAAAATGTCTTAAGTAGGCCAAATATAAATTCTTAAGACAATCATTTGTGAATTATTTTAACTTAAGGCGACGCATGAACAAATTTAAAATATAGTCTGCTTATGAAAAAAAGACTAAGATGATGAAAGATTACAAAAGTAAAAAGACCAACTTGTGAATTGATCCAATAACAAATTAAGGGAGTGCCGTCCTTGTTCATAAAATAATGACATTTCTACATAAACCTTTACAAAAACACACCTGAATGTCTATTATATAATGTATTATATACATGTTTTCATCTAACTTTTAATTTACAACCAAGTCTTTATTACTAATACAAATATAATATATACAAACTTATTTTAAAAGTGTCGTTCTAAATTTCAGAATAGTTTGAATTTGGTTAATAATACTTAACATTACAAACTATTGTTATGTGTAATGTATGAACGTTTAACTTGAAACACACTCTATCTATGGCATAATAATAATAGTTAGTTGACAAAAGATTGATCTAGTTCTAAAATCTGTTTTTGTTCTCAAAGGCTTTTGTTACAATAACATTGAAAGCTCCACAAATAAATATTTCATAAAGAAGCAACTAAAGACTAATAAACTAGAAACAACCTTTCTAAGAGTATTTTGAGTTTAAATGAGATAATGAAATACTTTGATTTGAAAAGCCATTAACAGTTTAGGAAAGTATAATATCAATAAAATGAGATCAAACTTTAATTAACAAGTGTAATTTCCCTACCATTACTTTAAACTGAGATAATACAAAATGCATGTTTTAAAATTAGTTATAAAAAGTACGTGATTGTAATCCCACTAAAAAAATATTGCAATACCTAAACCATTAATAGTTTCAATTTTCAATTTTAAAATAAAAACACATGTAGATGTGGGAATGGCAAAATTTTATTATTTGCTTGAATATAATTTAAGTGAAAAAATATAGATTTGTTTTTAACAGAAACCAGAGGCAAAAATAAAATTCCAAATTCAGGATTTTGAAGATGGATTTTGTTTGGCCCATTTGTTTAACTGGGATGAGACTACAGAATATTGCGTATTTAGATACAAAATATTCACTTTAAGGATCGAGTCTTGATCTCCATACTGTAAAATAAAATAATTCTTGAGATTGAAATGAAAATCAAGAAAAGATTAAACTAATAATGATTCATCAGTTAGCATAAAAACAACCTTATAGAGACAAATGAAAACTTAATATTTTTACATATTTAAAACTATACTCAGTACTCTGAACTTGAGCAACAAAATTGTGAAATCCTACAGTTTGCACAACTTTCAACCTTAAATCCCAACGAACCTTACTGTATCCTTGAATAAAACAATAGGTAAGGGGTGAGAGCAGAGTTTTTGGAGTTTTTCGGCCCCAGAAGCTCCCCCAAATGTTTCTTAGAGATGGTCCTGACAGTGTCATCGTCACATTCGAGCCAAACAGGTTCGTTGGTGTCTAGCTTGGCCCCGCAGCAATCAGCACTCCTACAAGGGGAAAAGTAGGGCCCTCGGTTTTCTAGGGGGCTCGGGTAAGTAGGCTTCGAGCTCTTTGAGAAAAACCTGTCAGCAAGATAAGAATCTGTAGCTACACTGACAGTCAAGCAACTTTGAAAGTTCTTAATTCATACACATTTTAAACATTACATAGAAATGATTCTATTTAATAATTTGAACAATCAGTTGAGCAATTTGAACACATTGTGCATTTTCAATTTGTTTTTACAGTTATGTATTACAACTTGGGTTTAACAAGGTCAATGTGCTGAAAAACTGGCATTGAAGAATAGTGCGTTGTTGCAATAAAACCCAATGTGGTGCACCAAATTACACAGTTAGGTCATTGCCTCATCCTGCCCCACTCCCTTCAATTCTTTCATGTCAGTGACTCAACTTCGCCAATGTTGAGTACCACTAGTCGCTTCCTAATCTCACTCTCTAGTACAAAAAACACATTTTATGAGCGCTGTAATTATTCCAGTCTAGATTTTTTGACATTTTTCACGATATTAAAAATCAAGCAAAGTTGATTGACATAAAAGCAAAAAAATCCCCAAAAAAAGACTACATTTACTTAATACTGTCAATACATTTTCAATAAAGCTGTTTTATCCAATGTGTAGCTTTCCATTTCCGAGCTTTTTTTACCAAACTTATTACATTCAAATTTCTTAACTGGTCTTTTAGGGTACAAATTAACTTTACACAGTGTTTTGACAAGCCTTTGTTACGCTTATAAGACACTGCTATAGTTTGATGAGACCTGCTCGTCATGATGCATCACGATAGGTGGTGGCATTTGACAACGGATCAGTGAATTATTTCAATCTAGGACTGTATACAGCACATTGCACATTAGTTTATACAGTACATATTTTACAGCTGTTCCCTTTTCTAGTGAGTGTGACAGAGACTATGGAAGGTTATGAACCCTTTAGAAAACTATTTAGTTGTGAAAATGGACCTGAAATTCCAGTTGATGCTCATAAAATTAAATTACCAATAGTAATTTAAGAGAAATATGCAAAAGTAAATACCAATAAAATTTTTAAATTCTATTTAGATTATATTATTAATTTAATAATGAATAGCACTAAAACCTATGCCGAACAGCCAAATGAGGAATGGTTTGCCATGTAACAATATTGTACTAACCTGAACAATGTTTTCTGTGTTCCATGTTTCTCCGTGTTACTAGCAGGTTTGCCAGCTCCTCCTGAGAGGGAAGCAGTTTTTCTCTTGTCTCTTGTGCAGTTTGCACTGTCCATGACAGTGTCCCTTCCACATACGTAGCTTACGTAGTGTCCACTGGCTAGGGTAGAGCCCAGGTGCATGATGATGCCATACAGTTGGTACCTGTGCAAGTGAAAGACGCTGTAGTAATACATAATAACTACCCGCAGTAATATATTACAGGGTTGCTCTTACATATCAACAAACAAGCAGTCTACAGTAAAAACCCGCTAATCTGGCATCCGATTGTATGGCACTTTCAGTAATCTAGCATCAGTTCAAAGGTCTAAATTTTTTTTATGTTTTTTAACCCATACTAGCATGTTAAGCAGAGTCAAGTGCGATTGGAGGGAAGATTGTTGCTTCTTAAATAAACATATTTTGCTCTTAGAAATTCTTAACCTTTCAGAGGGCGCATAGGTTTTTAAAACGGGAGAGAGCGCACCTCGAGGTTACTTCCAGGTAAAAAAAACAAACTTTTATAAGATAAAATGTGTATTTTAATGCATATATATATGTGTGTGTGCCCGTTAGCGCGATAACTCGAGCAAAAACAATCCGGTTGATGAAATTTGGTACAAACGTGTAAACCTTTGTTTATTTTAACAAGTTCGCAAACCAGCATAACCGGACCAGGGGAACAGGGGTTTATGGGGTTAAAATGGGGTTTCTCATGACCCTAAAAACAAAAAAATTTGCAATAATTAGTATAATGAAGCGCTGTTTTATGCCTAACAGTCTCAGAGAAAATTCAAAATTAGTGTAATTTAAATTTCTCATGTTATTTTTATGGATAAAATTAAAACTGTTGTAGTTTACTTGTTTATGGATATATATGTTTGATAAAATTTAGCAAATTTATTTATTTCATCCTATACTATAGACGTATGGTCAAACACTTTTTACCTTCCCCTTAGCAGCAAACCTAAGCATTCGTTAAATCGAATGTTATTTAAATTGGGAATAAATATGTCTTATTTATGGAAATATTTTAGCAAAAATTTAATCAGACAAGTTGAAATTCGCCTAGTCTGCAGGTTTGCTACGGCGGGGGTATTTAAAGATATGTCATGATGCTATTTTCCACAGTGAACAGGCCTAATGTATTTTTGAGATTTGGATATCAGCAAGAGAATCATTAATAAATTACTAGTGGAATCAGCAGATTTAGATTAGTAGAAATCCAAACTAAGGCGGGTTACACACCGGTATCACCGACATAATATCGCCAATATTTATCGTGGTAGCGAAGAACACGTTTCTAGTAGTTTCGGCGCTGCCACTTCGGTACTGCACGTGCCAATTCCCATGACATCTTATTATATGTCGCAGACATCATGCTAGCGACATCAGAAATATCGGCGACATTATGTCTGCGATACCGGTGTGTAGCCTAGTAGCAAACTGAAGTCGAAGAGTTATGTGTATGAAGGTATAAAGCAATTTCATATGGGAAACACATTTGAAACAGATAGGCCTATAAAGGGTGGTTCTTAGAGTAAAAACAAATCCAAGCATACCCTCGGTGAGGTTTAAGTCTCTCCTCCAGATCTTTGCATTTGTTGCAGAAGCAACTCAGTTCGATAGGTGTTGGCATATATTCATTGACTTTTTGAACACATGATCTGGAAAACAAAAATCGTGTTAATGTTAGTAAATGGATCCAAACAAAACTAGTAAAAGAAAATCTTGTAACATAGTGAAAACTTTTTTACTAATCATGATGGAAAATGACGATAGTAATCTCTTAAATAACATAAACTCACCATCGCAAAAATTAACTTTAAACGAGGAGTTTAGTATATGCTTTTGGTGATTACTTACCACAAATGAACTTTCAAAATCAGTGTCGTCATACAATACAAACTCATGGAAAAATTAAAGACAAAGTAGAAAAAGTATGTCAATCCATACCCGTAAGAGCTGCTGAATCGTTTCAGATGCAGGATAAGCAGTCTGGGTAAAGTGTCGTAGCTGATGTTACGCCTGGCTTCATTGTACCGACCACAATCTTCACACCAATACTTTTCACTGTCTATTAGGTACTCTTCAGTTATCACAGCCGAATGGTATAGTGAACTGACTTCTTCTGAGGTCACTGGTAAAAAATTGCTTATTAAATAAAAGTCTTGAGCATGAATTATTTTTTGTAAGACAGTGGTTTGGTCGATAGCTTGACAGACTAAAATTTCGTGGTTCCTGTCCCAGTGCAGTCAATAAAATGCTATCACTATAGTACACTAACTACTTGCTTTGCTCAACAATCGTTGTTCTTTTTTTAAAGAAAATAAAAAAACTCATTAAGATACTTTTAATAATTTAATAAAGAAATCTCCCGATTATACACAATTTGATTAATCACACTATTTTATATTAACCACAATTGTAAAAAAAAAACTACATTTAAGCAAGTTACATTATACAGCGACGACCAAGATGTTAAGCGTGAAGATCAAGGGCAGACTATAGATTTGCCTTTGTTTACCAGTACCACACCAACCACCGACAAGTCACCAATTACAACCAATGAGATAGTAAATTAAATTTTGTTTGTTTTTATTGAACCTATATATAGTCAGTATAATATCATTTAGTTTTTTTTGAATAAACGTGTGTGAAATAAAGTTAAAAGGTATTTACACTGCATTTAAAATGTTTAATTATTAGCTACACCAGTATCAAAGCTTCTGTCAATATTAGTTACATATTTCCTGGACAATTTAGGTTAGGTCTGTGTTATTCACAATTTTGACTATCCCACCACTCACTCTTTCACCCATTATTGTGAATAATCAGGAGTCTGATGTATTTTACTTCTTGTTAAATCACACTTTTAAATCTCAATTAAGTAAAATCAGGTTTTTGGATCAGTTTATTATTACTAAGCATTAGCTTACTTGACAACAAGTGTGTACGCTTTAGAATTTAGGTATTGTCAATCAACAAATAATCAATAATACTACTTTTAAACTGTTTTCTGGAGTAATGGTTTGGAAATGAAGAAGGAATGGACACATGACTTTAGAAAAGAGTTCCATGTAGTTGATAGTACAATATAAGCTTAGTAAGCACTAAAATTACCAGTACTTTCCCTGGTATTGCAATAACAGCCTTCTTTAAGACATTCAGTAAACTGGCACCGCCAAAGTCCTGAACATGCCGAATCATCGAGCGTCTACTGTACAACACAACTCTGCTATCATCTGCTTGGGACTCTTTTCTTAGATGTGTATCTATTTTTTCTGCTTTATACTTTTTACACTGTGCGATAAAAGTTGAAACAACAAAAGAGTTTAAGCTATCATAAACCTCAGTTGTGGCTTAATGATTAAAGCTACAAAAAACTATGGTAGCTTTGAGGACAATGCCTTGTGTGACAGTATGTAGCTTCTCTATCTATGTTGGTTCTTGCACAGCTTAAGTGAAGAGTAAGAAAACTTACCACACGGACCACTTGGCGCAGTGATGGGAACAGATATGTCGATAAAAGATTCTGAAAGTTGGCTTGTCCTTTCACACTCTAGACAAGTCGTATAGAGAAGCATAACACCTTCAAAATCCTCAGAAATGAAGTTATTTGCTACTCGAGGCCCCTCTTCGTCATTTTGGGTTAAGGGCTGCTCGCAGATCAGAGGTCCATCTGAAAATGATTAATGAATTAAATTTAAAAATACCGCCGCCGCAGCAAACCTGCAGACTAACTACTGAAAATACTGAACAAAGCATACAAACAATAAATAAAAGCCCATTTTGGTTTGCTGAATGAAGGCTTTGCTGTTTGTCATGTAGCCATGTAGTTTCATCCATCAATAAATAAATTTTACCATTGAGCTTGAAATTGAAAATAGTAGTCTTGCGCAATGTGTTGCCATTTGTCACGGTGGTTACAGTACAGGTTGAATGCAATATGATTCGTCGAAATCATCAATAACCTAACATTTAACCATTGCCTAAAAAATATGAATTCAGCCACTGAGTCATACAGTTATAGTTAACTGGAATGAATTTGAGGTTCGAGTCGTACATTCAGCGCTTCTGTATTTCCATAGTTCGTGCAAAAAAAAGTAAAATAAAGAACTGTACGAATTAAATAAAATAATCCTGTAACTTCTAACTACAGTATTATTAATGTTATTATTAATCAACCTCCGATAAAGAAAGGATGGTATTAAGGTAGTGTAATAATGTTGTTGAGTCCAAATAAACCATTTTGATCCAGTCTTTATTAAGCTTGCTTCCTGTTTTCTGCTTGAAGATGGTGGAGCAATTGCAGTCGATGTTTGCACCACTCTATCAGCTGAGGATAGTGACGACAACTTAACTAACTAACACTGAAATAATAATCCTATAGCCTACTATTGATATTTCATGATAAATATGCCCTTTCAAATAGCCTTAAGTAAAAAATAATCATCATGGTTGACAATTTGAATTTTGTAAATCTTGGTACCGAAGGTATCGGTACTGACAGTTCACCATCGATTCTCGGTCCCAAGAATTTTTGGAACCGACATTTGACGTTAAGTACCAACCAATCACTATTACAAATCCAAACCTACATGCAATTCACAGACTACAGATCATTAAAACTCATGTGAAATTTCTAGTATCCAGTTTCTAGGTTGGATGAAATATTGTTGTTTATTTCTCAACCAAATTAAACACATACTGTTTAATCGTAAATTATAAAATTTCACAACAATGAACGTACCGTTAAGAGGATTCTTCTTGTCCAACACCCCGTTGCTCTTGGTCTTTCCTAGTTTGAGACTTTTCCGTACATTTGAGGAGAAGGAGCTCTTAGCCGGAGGCAGTGGGCAGGTGGGGGGAGGAGGTTGAGGTATGATACACCTCTGTCTCTCATGAAGCTCACAGAGTTGACGACAAGTCTCTCTCATTGTATCAACCAGACATACCAACAGCTCATGAGCATCATGTTGTTGGTTGCCTTCGAAGATGGGATTCACCTCCCTGTCAAAATCATATGTTGCTTACAGCTCATAACCGTAGAACATAGCATTTGAATTCCAGAGGTGAGCTTCTTTAAAGAGAAGTCCTGCGCTCTATCACTAGAAGAGCTCACGACCAAGGAAATAGAAATTAAATCTGTTCGGCTAATCTTTAATACTTACGAAGTAGGTATTTTAAGCCAAGTATGAATGGAGATGAGTGTAGGATGAGTTATACTGAATTTTCACAACATAGGCTATAAATTAGTGAGAACTGAAATTAATTTTTTCCCAATAGGTATATATAATGTAAACTGTAAAGTGTAATATAATATGATTTAATTTAAGTAGGTAACTTATATTGGAGATATTGGCAATGAATAATGAAATGTATAACTAAATTTAAAAGTTCAGAAAGGCCAATATACAGTCCAACCTCAGTGTAACGAATCTGAAGGGACCGAACTGAATATTCGTTATATCAAGGATTTTGTTAAAACGAGGTTCGTTATATAGAGGTTAGGTTTGCAGGAATTTCGCTAAGTCGAGGTTCAGAACCAGCGTCGGTCAATATACGTTGGGATTTGACCTCATTAAAATAAAATTAAAGTAGCATAGGCTACAATACTTTACAGTACCTACAGTGTTTACATTGTACAGTAGAACCTAAATTATCCGGCATAATAAAGGGGAGGGATCTTGAATATTGCGCAACCATGACAATGGCATTGACCTTGGTACAGGTTAAAAGATGTAAGTTTAAAATCACAGCTTGTTCTAACCCTCCTAAAACCTAGCCAAACACTGTATTGCGTAGTCATAAACCATGTAAAGAACAAAACAAAACAGTAGAAAGTTTTGTAAGCTACTGCTTGTGATAGGCCGACAGGCTACTAACAGTACAGTACTGATTTATCACAACAGAGGAATGTCAATAATAATCATTAACTATAGCATTGGTGTTGCTAGTTGAAACAAATCGTATTTACAATAAATTATTAGATAAGTCATTATAAAAGTGTATATTCGTAGCCAACTTAAGGATAATAAAAACACTCGTAAAAGGAATGTTAAAATAACGATGTTGCTATTCTTTCTCTTTGGTTTTGTTTTATATTCTTTCTTAGGTTTCTCTTTATCCAAAAATTGTACAATTCACCATATCGCCCAATCACAGCTTACTAAACATTACGTCGTCATCAGTCCTCAGTGAATGAAATCAGTTCTCAGCTGCAACATAGCGCGCGCAGCGACAGCAGACAAAGATGTAAAACGGAGCAGACGAATGTTAGTGCAAGCGATGACGTGACCTTTCCATTTAATTTGATAAAGAAACAGATTTTCCCAAAACAATAATTGGGTGGGGGATTTGTTATATCGAGGGAAAGACGTAGACAATTCGTTATGCAGAGGTTAAATTCGCAATGTAGAGGTTCTGACAATGACAAATTCGTTATATTGAGGTGTCTTATTTTAGCCGAAATCACAAAAAATTCGTTAAATCAAGGTCGTTGTTATGGTTTGTTCGTTATGTAGAGGTAAAATATACATTGTGTCTTATGGAGAGTTCTAGGGGATTAAAAAAAATTTGTTATATCAAGGAATTCGTTATATCGAGGTTCGTTATATCAAGGTTAGACTGTATAATAAATAAAAATAATTTAAAATAAAAATAAAATAAAATAATTTATTATATATTGGCCTTTTTGAACTTTTAAATTTAGTTATACATTTCATTAAGTAGGTAACTTGATAGTAGAAAAATATCAACAGTTTTATCATCTTTCCTTTACAAGATCTCTGATATTAAAATAAAAATGTTATGCTATTTTTAGGTGGTTTTGATGTTTATTACCCAGCCTCAAATAGTGTAAGGGACCAACAGAATTAATGCTCACATAGCAGGACTATTTTGAGTTGAAGGACAAAAAACTCAATGAAAAAATATTTGGCCTATACTGGATGCAACAGTGTCTGATTTAACAGACAATCTCTACAATTAAGAAAGCCCTTAACAGAATCTGAATTTTAGCCTACTACCAGAGGTTTTATTTCTAAATGGAATAGCATGCTATTTATTTGTATCCTCTTTCAGTCATAAATTAAATTTTACACTTAGTTTGAAGTAGGCCCAGTTCAATACAATTCTTAATTTATTATATGAACTTGTTTATTTACTCTAGGACTTACCTCAAGGCAGTCAAGAAGATCTCAGGCTGGTAAGGCTCAATGTGGTCCTTCAGTTCCGTGTGGTGGAGAGCCTCGTATAGTTCATGTAATCTCAGCGTCGCCACTGCGGTCTTGTCTTCTTGACCCATGGTAGAAAGGTCCTTATTGCTCCAATTCTTGCTCCCGCCTCCGATCCCACGTCCCAAAGACGATGACTTGTTCTATGTCAAATACAACAATAGTAATTTTGGTACTTAAATATAACACGAAAAACTGTTTATGTTTGGCTTAAAAATCATATACACAGCTGTCCAATGATAATCTGACAGCTAAGGGTCATAAATATTGCTTCTAGCTTATACAAATATTTGGAGGGTTACAGATTATTGAAAATGCCAACTATCCATATTGGTTTTTTCTTCTATGCAATATCATCAAGATAAGATATTAATATTATTTTCTAATGCAGTACCGGTATTAATAACTAATAGCATTTGGGACAGTGTAGAAACACGACGTATACAAAAAGTATCTAAGAGAGTACATATAATTTATTATGTTTATACAGTAGACTCCCTCTAATCCGGACTCCTCAGGACCGAGGTAAGTCCGGATAACGGGTTTTCCGATTAAACCGACGTCCTCAAAAACTTGTTAAAACCGTTTACTGTGATATTTGACTTAAATTTAGGAGAGCATTGTATTTAGTAGACACGTGATCACTGGTCAAAAATCTTTCCCACGAGAACAGTCGTTTCAGTACCGCCCACTTCCTGCCGATCTAGTGCGATGGTGTGCTGACTCGTCATTTGAAAATTCATCGTACAATTTAACCTCATTAAAAGTTTCTCTCTGGCTGATGAAAATTTAAAATGACCGCCATGTCGTACTGGGTTGAGATAGAGACCTCTATTTTTTGCTGATATTCTTCTTTAATAAAGGCCTTTAAAATGAGGTGTCACTCGATGGGGCTTTACATTTAAAATTGTTGAGCTGCCCCCAAATTCCCGGGCAAAATTGTGATACCGACCAAAAAGTGCAGTTTTATTTTTTATGAAGGTAAGTGAAGTATAGTTTTCCTGGTGTCACCCATTACTAAGTTAACTAGGGGTATCCACACATTTGCCCAACCCTGTATAATGTGTATAAACATGATTTGATTTTGTGGCGTAAATTTGGTGGCTCAACGCAACTATGTCCATTTTCATTCAAAAACCGGCAAAACTTTAACAAGGGATGGGCGTCTAGTGCTACTAATAGTAAAGGGTGTTACCTTTAAATGTGAGTATCTTCCGCTCAATTCGGTGAGATCGGCGACAAGATGGTGGAGGTTGTGTAGGAAGCTAGGAGCAAACCTCAGAGTGTACAGTACGCTGTTTAGGAAACACGTGTTCCCCAAGTTGCAGAGAGTTGCTACAGGGCTTACACCTAATCCCAACACAACAGACAATGTATTAACTCAATAATTAATTGTATGAGAAAAGTCCTGGTAATATTTCTAGGGAAATGGAAATTCATAGCCAACCAGTAGAACTGAAATACATTAGACTTTGAAACGATTACAGGAAGTAGACCTGAAGTAGTATCAGGTTATGAAGGACCGACGTAGACTCTGGATTGTCGTCTGTGTTATCAACAGCTGATAATGGACTATTGTAGTGACGGAGTAGAGTGTTGAAAATATAATGGGATTCATAATTGAGTTTTACATTCAAAATGTGTGTGCTGTCCCTGGTTTTTAAGACTTTATATATTTCAAACTCTTCCTAAGTATTTAATAAGTTTCCTCTCCCACAGTAATGTAGAATGGCGAGACCGTCATTTATATCCAGCATATCATGGTTATTGTCAATAATGTGTTGAGTGAATTTGGATTTCTGTAATTTTAGTGTAGCCTGACGATGGTGGAGTTAAAAAACCATGTTGCAAGTAAGTTTTGACACTACAATACATGTTAAGGATTTTCTGACGAGGTACATTTTTACCATAATTAGTCATAAAACGCAATTCTGGGGCTATAAAAATGAATTACAAGGGTATAACTATTAAAATATTGATGACTTGTGTCACTTCCTATTCTTATCAGAATCATTATTAAATTGCTATTTAAAACCAAAATTTATGTTCATAAAATAGTCATAGTGGTTAATTGGATAGCGAAGGCCAGGGCCACATGAGGTGGTTTTGCCACACCTAAAAAAAGTTATGGGGGTTTCGTCAACATATTGAATAGGCCAAGTTTATCTAAGCCGCAAGAAGTTAAGCCCTTGGGAAGGGATGACACACACAGTCTTATAAAAGACAACAAAACATACGGTTTGACCGCGTGTTTGGTGCTCTTCTTCAGGCATTTCTAGTGGTTTTGAAAGAGTTTGTGGTTTGTGCATTTGTTTACCAATTATGTACAATGTTTGATACGGTAATTACAAAAAAACTCCCATCTATATGGTTTCGCATGTGCTCGTTAAAGGTTTGACACACAAGTGGGTTATCCGATAGGAAGGGATGAACCCAGTGATTTCTGTTAACCTTTGGTTCCTGCTCACAAACAGCTTCTAATGCACGAGCTAACATAAGAGTTTCGTCCATGACTACTACGAGTTAAATGGACTATGTTTTAATGCAGTACGTGGGGTGGGATAAACCAACAGAAAGCGGTTCACCCGCTCTGTGTGGCTGGACATTGATGGCGCGGCTTAACTTCGCAAGGCAAAACCGCCTCGTGTGGCCCCGGCCTAACATAAAAATGCCTGAAAAAATACAGACACAACCAAACAAAGTTAGAGACAGGCAAATGACCATGCTGATCAATTAGTTACCTTCAGTGTTTAGACTGCTATCATCAGGAGAATGCGTCTTGTGGGTGTCCACCAGCCCTCCGTATCCATTCAGCATCACGCCTGCTGACCAAACAAACATCAGTAACGCCAGTTATGAGAAATGACACACAACAACAACAACTCAATTCAGCCACTCACAAATTTGATATCAGCCATTCAAACAACCAATATTTGAAATAAGCTATTCACACTAACAATATGTGACGTAAGATATTCACGCCAACAATTTTTTACATCAGACATACATGTATATCTTGAAATCAACCTTTCACGCCGACAACAATATGTCGCTTCAGATACTCACACAAACAACTTTTGACATTAGACAATAGACATTAACACCAACATTAGACATCAGACATTTACAACAACAATATTATTGACATCAGCCCATTTACACCTACGATATGTGACTTTTAACATCCAGACAGATTAAGACCACAGGAAAAGAAATAACAATGGAAAGTCAAATTCATTTATTTATTTTTCCAAACATAATTAGGAATTTCTTTACTTTGCCTGCCACATGGGCTTTTTCAAAAAGGTATCAAGGAAATTGAGGGATGAGCTCAACAAAGGAAATTATGATGAGGAAACGAAGGATTGAAGAAATTTTACTTCAACAAATAATGTATGAATTTGAATTCCTACAGCACTTGGTAATGTTATACGACAAGGAATAGAAAAGGAACCATCAATTGGGACATAAAATAATGTTTACAATTTGAATAATGATTTTTATTTAAATATATACATAATTAAGGTAAAGACTGAAAACCACTTTTTCCTTTTTGTATCGGAACAAATAGACCTTTCTCCATCTTATAAATCAACTTCAAAAACCATCAACACAAAATTGTCTCTACTTTTTAAAGAGGAAAACGCCAAGTCCTACTTTTAAACTAACAATCGAACAAAGACAAAGAACAACAACCATGAGGTTCTAGGATTAAAACAAGAAAAAAGATGCGACTCAATCTTTTGAAAACACAACAGAACCAATGAAAATTCAAAGTAAACTTTCCAAATAGATGTGACAAATAATAGATAATTTAAAAAAAAAAATTATTTGCTCAGTCTTGTGACATAATACAGAGACTGATCACAATCTTAAAACAAATTGTTACAAGTTACTACATTAGATATTTGATGTAAAAATACGACTTGCCAGAAAGAAGACCATTATGACCCAAAGAAAGCAAAATATAATGATTAAGTCTTTACAAACAAACACAATGAAAAACAAATACTCATAATGAAACAAATGAAGACATATATTTTCAACCCTTATAAATTACTGCACACTTTGCACCGAACAGATGAAAATACCCCTGCCACAGCAAACCTGCGGACTTAGCGAATTTCCATTTGCCTGATTGGATTTACACTAAAATTTCTCCTTAAAAATATCGCATTAAGGCTATTCCCTATTTAAATAGAATTTGTTTAACTAGAACTCAAGTTGGCTGCAACAGGGAGGGTAAAATTTTTTTTTTTTTTGTAAAATGTTAATACTGTAGTTTAGTAAGAAATTAATGTATTTTCCAAATTGGGCCAAAATATGTTCATAAACAAGCAAACTACAACAGTTGACTTATTCCCCATAAGAATAACATGAAAATTTTAAATTAAATTTTTTTTTGAATTTTCACCGTAAACATTATGCCAATAACGCTTCAATTTACGAAATTATTTTTTTTTAAGCTCTACAAAATGGTTTGAAAAGAAATGGTGAAATTTTGTGTTTTTAGGGTCAATAATGGGAAAACCCTATTTTTACCCCATAATAAAACCCCCCATAAACCCCCTTTCCCATAGTCTAATCATGCTGGTTCGCAAATTCGTTTGAATAAATGTAGGTTTAAACGTTTGTACCAAATTTCATCATAATCGGATCATTTTTGCTATAGTTATCAAGGTAACAGAAACATAAATATATAAATGAATTTGAACGGATGGTGTTTTTTGCCTCAAGGGACCTCAAAACCAAAAATTTAATCGGTCCTGGGTCCAGGTCTTACTACGAGTACTACGGTAATAGATTATTCCCTATATGGAAAATTCGCTAAAAAACTAAAACAATCAAATTTTGTATTTGATTGGCTGTAAAAGATGTTGGTAGTTATTTTGATACAGAGTAGAAATCATAAATCTTTAAACTTAAGTAGCTAAATTATATACAGACCAGTTGAATGTCTAAAGTGAGTAAAAATTCAAATTATACAACTTAATCCCACTATTAAAGAGTCTTCACCACCCCTCTAAAATAGGGCAAAACATGTCCTTTTCTTTAGCTGCTTTCGATACTATTTGTCGTTACTGAGTTTGGAAAAAGTGTTTTCTTGTAGTCAAAGTATGTAAAATACTTAAGTGCATCTCAAATAGATGTATTTTTATTTTAAGTATTGTTTACCCAAAGCTATAGAAACAATTTGAAATTCGTTTTAAACAATGTAAGGTAGTAGAATGGCGCAGTAACTCAAATAAATCAAATAAAAAAATTAAAAAAAAAATTGATCAATAATGTGGCTTGAAGCAGCTAAATAAACCATGTTTCGGCTTGATTCATACGGCTATTGTGTACTACTAGCCGCTTGCAAAATGTCAGGTCAGGCCATTGTTTACGTATTGTCATTGGTTGACCTTGACACAATGACACACTCCAGCCACGACCACCTTTAACGTGACAGACGTCCCACAAGATAACATGGCAGACAGGTAACACCAGCTCATTAATTCGCACTCTATTAATTTAAATTTATGAACATAAATTTATTAAAATATTGAAAATAAAACCGAAACACAATATGAATTAAAAATTATATCATTTTAAGTGGAGTCAATATTGTCATAGTCCAGTAACCAATCATTCATAAATACACAAATACCATTAGCTGCTTTCAAACAAAACAGCTGTTACAACACCACTTGCGACGTTGCCACTTCGAAGGCCGCGGCCTGGAGTTAAAAGCGGCCATGCTCCAGCCCATAGAGCATAAGAGAGGTTATGTTTTTGTTTATAACCTCTGATTGTCACTGACAGTGATGCAACGAAACATTGGGCACGTTCTGGGACTAAGTACCGATGCACATTAACCGGTGAATTACTCACCGGTACCGCCCTGGGGCAAGAGTCTTGGTATCCCAGAACGGTTAATCACCGGTTTACGGTACACATTGGATTATGATTTACACATCCACCTACTATTTGCTTTATAATATTTAAATCAAACAAACAGACTTGCCCTCACGTAATAAATTATTTGAAAATTATTTGTTTATTACGTAATATCGAATTGAACAAATTATTCACTCATTACGTAATATAACCTATAAAACTGATGAACATTATTCTATGGACCCGCCATCTTGCCTTAGCTGCAAGCTGTTGTCCAAGAAACTGACCAATCAGAGGCCGCCGGTGTATTATGCACCGTACAATTTCTCCGGTGCATAAATCTTGCACCGGTGGAGGAAAAAGAGGAAATAGCTGTCTGCTACTTCTTCTACAGCTGCCCCGAGAACAAGAAAAAAATTATTGGACCTGCTCTACTGATGCATTGGATAAGTTATTATAAATTGTATTTATGTGGAAAATAAGTTGAATAATGCTTGGCTAAGTCAGGAAACAAGCGGGGAGCCCTTCTGGCTCACCCGATTATTGAAATGTAGGAAATCACAACTTAGTCGGTTGGGTGCCAGAACGACACATTTTTTGCACCAGCGCGGCACCGGTGCACCGGTACATGTTCCCAGAACGCGCTCATTGTACCAAACACTAATTGCACCACTCAACAATTAAATTGGTGTGAAGAACTGATTAATTGAAATTCAAATCATTACAATTTCTCTTCTTCTCAATCCTTGAACCTCATTAGTCCGTTACTCGTGTTGTTATGAGTAAAACTATGCGGTTATGAAAGTAAAAAATGCTGTTGTGTGAAACTTTTCAATTCTTAGAACTGAACTGAAACGGCTACTTCAAAAAAAGGGTCGTAGGTAAAAATGTTATTTTTATTTGTCTTGTTTTCGTGGCTAAGCCCCTATAATAATTGCTATTGTAAAGGCTTACCTTAGCAATTATATGTAAGCAATCCAGAGGCTAAAATGTTTGAAATAATAATTATTTTTCATGATAACATCATTAAAGCAATTCAAATATATAACAACATATTGATCCACTCTGGTTGGTTCTCAAAGAGAAGAAATTATCTAAATAAGAAGAGCAGTGATGCTAGTGATTAAAATCCAAATGTGCGGCTCAATGTCCAAAGGTAGAGAAGTTTGCCGCTGTGTGTGTGTAGGTGCGGAGTCGTGTCTTTAGTAGTCGTTTGTGTACGATGTTTTCAGATTGGCGCACCTAATGACCCCGAGCTACCTGCCTGTCTAAACATCCCCCCCCCCAAGGCCATACCCACAAAACGCAACCACCCCAAGGGTGGTGAAGACTCTTAAGAATAAACCTGAAATTTCTTGGCTACATTCACTACATAACCTACAGAGGGGCAAACAGGTTAAACCAGGGCTCTTTTTATATTTAGAGCGGAGTGGTATTATGGAGTTTGGGTTAGCTATTTGTGATGGTCTCGTGGTCTGAGGTTTACTTCTGCTTCTTCTAGTTTTTTTAAAATATTTGTTGATGATGACCATTTGGAAAAGTTTTTTCAGGGTGTCCATTTTCCTGATATACTGTTCCTCAGTCAACAAATAATATCTTCTTCGATTTGACATAGAGGTTCCTTGAGGCATCCTTTGGACTACGAGGGAAAGATCCAATGTTTTGAAGATAGAAGAACTGGATTACATAATCTTCGCCGCAGGCTTTTCTGAAAATATAACCAGAAATGTTAAATGTCGTGAAACTTGCACAGAATACTAAAATGTTGGATTAAAACTACTGCATAAATATTTTAGATGGATTATTGGCTTATACGTAAATAATTATGCTTACCAATTTGTTATTTTATATACTTACCATTGAGTTAGTAAGTATATATGATTATGTATACATAGGAACATACTGAATATAGTTAATGAATTGCAAATATTTGCCAAAAATA